CCACGACTTTACTGCCCTCATTTCCTCTTTCCTGAATGATAACAGGGGCTTCTGAAAAGCCCCCAAAGCAGAGAAAACATAGTGGCGACTGAATTACTGCCCCACTGTCAGCTGACACCCTGAAAACGCTAGCCACAGCCTCTGTGCCTGCGGCAGGCCCGAGTCACAGCCCCAGACTTCAGACGATCGCTGCAAGGCGGGCTGCCTGGCCACGGGGGCCCGGGCGCAGGGCAAGGGTGCAGGTGGAGTGGGCTGGGGGAGCCGGGTGGCGGGAAGGCCGCCCCCACTCTGGAAGTGGCATCGAGGGCACTAGGCAGCAAGTCTCTGGCCAGCAACTGGGAGGTACAAGGACAAGGCTCTGCATCCTGAGGATGGGTCAGGTGGGAAGAGGGAGGGACCGAGGCTCTCAGGTTTCAGCGCCACACTAAAATGCTGACACTAAAAGGCTGACAGGAAACCTAGTCAGAAGCCCAAGGCACTGGGGAAGAGTGTCTGGGAGCCCCAGGGCTCCCCAGAGACAGCCCACATGGGCCTGCAGCAGCAGGACCGAATGCAGACCCTCGAGTGCTCCTGACCGCTCTCTGCCTCCCTCAGGACAGGTGCGAGCTGGCCGCGAAGAGTCTGCAGGGCGGGCCTCGGCCCTGGCCGCCGCGGGGACAGGCGACTGGGGGTGGCCGGGGAAGGGTGGAGTCAGGAGACAACCCACGCTGGGGGCCCAGTCTTGCCCTGTCAAGAGGGGCTCCGCAACAAGTCCATTTCTGGCAGAAAACCACCAGATGAAGCAAGGGCAGGGAGGACGGCTTTGCAAAGCCGGAGCAGCTGGGCTGAGGAAGCCAAGACAGACGGACAGGGGAGAGCGTCACGGGAAAGGGGCAGGGCCTCGGCGGTGCTGCTGGAGGTGTGGTGCTACGTAAATGCACGTTGAAGTGAGTTACAATAAACAAAATCCAAAAAATCAGTTCTTGGTTGCACTGGCCACATTGCAAGCGTGCAGGGCCACAGCGGGCCAGCGCTACGTTACAGACTGTGTGCGGAACACTCTAATTACCGCAGAATGTTCTGTTAGCGCTGGTCTAGAGGCTTCTTTCATCCCTTAGGTTTGCAATGCCTTTGGGTCCTAATTAGTCTGGTGACATGAAAGTAGGCCCTGAGGCTTCAGTCACTCTTATTCAGGAAAGCTGGGCCAGGGCTGTTAGCAGGCTGGGGGAGGACACTCAAGGACTTGATCGCAGACGCTGGCCGCCTTGGTGCCCCGGGGAGGCCTGAGGGGCGGAGAGTCCTGCTGCTCACTGAGTGGGCAGCGGCCCAGTGAGGGCCGGGCGGGGCCCTGCAGCCTCAGCCCTCCACGCCCGTGGCAGCCTGCCAGGAGGGGCGTCGTCAAACCTTCTGCCCGGCTGGGGAGACACTCCATCCCTGCCTGTCCCTCACGGTCTCCTGCAGCACCCATGTCCTTCTGCGACAGCATCAACAGCAAGTCACTCCTGCCAGCACCACGGCCTGCGGGCCAGGGCGGCTGAGGCTCCGCGCCCGCCCTCCAGGGCTGCGCCAGCAGGGCCAAAAGCGGGCGCAGCCAGGGACTGCCTCGGCTCACACTGTTGGCCCTGAAGGACGCCAGTGTGGCCCTGCCATTGTCACCTCAGGCCAAGGTCGTTTGGGACACTTAACTGGCATTATATTGAGTCTATGGATCAGTCTGAGGAGAAATGACATTTTAACAATATTGAGCTTTCCAGCTCACGGACATTGATATATATCTCCAGCTATTAGCTTGTCTTTGATTCTTCTCTCTAAAATTTTACAGCTTTCTCTGTAGAGGTCTTAGCCATTTTTTGTTAGATTTATTCTTAGGCACTGGATATTTTTTAGTGCTTATCATATTTTTAAGGGTATCTTAAAAATTTCTTTTGCTGTCTTTGCTGGTAAACTTCAGTTCGTAACAAGAGGACAGCCCAGCCCCTCAGCTGCCTGCAGAACATGCCAGCCAGAACTTCCATGCCGGCCACCTGGGCCCGCACCCTCTGGCCACCTCCAGACAGCTGTCACACGTCCAGGGAGGGGGTCCCGCCAGTGCCACCATCACCCACCGCTCTCAAAGACCGTCCCCACAGAGTCCCGAGGTTTTGTGGGAGGCTGAATTTTTCTAAGCTGGTTTATATGCACCCCTAGATGTTTTGTGTGAAGAGTGTGGACGCAGGGAGGGGTGCCTGGATTTAGGGCAGGAACTTATTGAGTCTGCTTTCCACAGTGTGGTGAGTACGGACGGAAAGGAAGACACCGGGAGTGGCCAACGCGGTGACAAAAGTGAGAGAATGAAGCAAGCAGACCCTCTGGCCACCACACCCTCCGCTAGTCACAGAGACTAACGGGCAAAGAAGCAAACTCGAGCAAGGACAATGTCAGATAACTGCCCCCCACCCCATGACCACGAATACCAGTCTCTAGCTCCCTGCTGCCTGGCTGTCCTTGTGCTGTGAACTGTGGGAGCCCGAACACAGCTGTGCCGTGTGCACGGTCACGCCAGTGACACACAGAGTGCTGCACAGAATCCCAGTAAATGGCGAGACCAGGAAGCTGTTGTGGGTTTCAGGTCACTGTTAGAAGCTGCTGGTTCTTGGGTCAGACCCAGCTAGATATTTCTTCCACAACTTTGAGTGGTTTCTGGTTTGGTTTTCTGCCTGAAAATTTGGGGGATGCTTTCCCTGGAGTCTATTTGTGAGTGAAGAAAACAGCTTAGGGAGAATCCAGAGACCCTGGCTCCACTCCGCGCCTCCCTGATCCCTCCCTTGCCAGAAGTTCCCTTATGGGAGCTCACGGTGTCCTCAGTTTCCCTTCTCTTCACGCCACAGATCAACCCTGGTGTGAATGAGATGCAGGGTGGCTCCAGATGGTTCTCTTCCTTCTTTGGGAAAAGTCTCTCTTCTTTTTTTCCATGTTTTTACAACAGAAAACCAGGGATTGAGGAGACTAGGGCCACTGTGTGGTCAGGCCACCCTGACTGGTACTTCCTAGGAAAGTGGCTCGCTCCTTGACTTGCAGGCTTTGGGTAGAGTGTCTTTCAGGTGGAGGCTCCTGCAGGTGTCAACTTCGTGTGCTTCCTAGGGAAGGTTGCCCAGTGCCTCTCCTGTGTGCGTGAGACACGATTCCGAGAGTCCGCTGCAGGGCCCCACGGACTGCCACAGACATCGTCAGAAACATGGCTGAGTCAACTGTGGGATGACTCAAGACTTCGAAAGATTTAAGCTGTGCGTCTCATAACACTAGATGAAAATGATGCCCGTTCCCCACTGCGAGGACGCCAGGTGAGGCGGAGTGCAGCTTGGCAGTGGCCCACACTCCTGGCTCCCGGTCATGGGGCTGTGGGCAGTGGGCCTGTCGGTGCTCCCGGGCCTGGGCCTTGGGACAGGGCCTGTGCGGGAGACACTGTGGCCCTGAGGAAGGTGGCCAGGGCTACTCAGTGGTCCTCGCCACACCAGGACAAAATGTGAGCCCCTAAATGGGACTGGACTTGGACAGGAAAGTGGAAAAGAGCAAGTTTGCTTCTCCGGAGGAGGCGGGAAGCACCGTGCTCCTCACCAGATCTGCTCACGGGGAGTCTTATTCGCTGCACATCAGCCACGGTCCCTGCGCATTCTTGAGTGAGGGGAAGAATCAGCACCGTAAGGGTACTGTCTGTCTTATCTTTTAAATCACCCAAAGGTTATTTCCCTCTTTCTTAAAAACAGCCGGCAGAGCTCTGGCATGGAGAAGTGCTGGCTGACAGCTCAGTGTGGTGGAAATCCGTGGACTACAGGGTCAGAGGGGCTAGATTCCAATCCAGTCCTGCCGCTGATTAGCGGTGTAATTAACGCCGGGCACTTCATTCTCCAGCCCCACTTTCCTCCGCCCTTCAATGGGGACGCAAATACCCACCGCACAGGGTGTTTTGAGGATTGCACGCAAAGATGTGTGAGTAGCACATGATACGGTGTCAAAAATGTTAGTTGAATATGAATTCAAAGCAGGCTATGGATATCTTGTCAATGAACATGGACACAACAGCCAAGGAGGACCCTTCCCCAACCCCAATCAGTCCTGGGAAAAGTAAGAATTTGAATAAAAACAGGAGACATCACTAGCCTCCTCCTCTGGCCTCCTGCTGACCTGTGCTGCCTGGGAGAACTACTGAAGGGGGTGAGGGGAGGGCTCAGAAAGTGGGAGGCATTTTCTCGTCTGTAATTGCACGATTTTCCTAGAATTCCTTCTCATCGCTCTCCAGAAGGTGCTACAGCAGCCAGGGGGCCGCTGAGTGGCCTCCCTCAGAAGCAGCTGCCATTGTGGTGAATCCCAGGCCAGTGGACATGGTGACTGTCCTGTCACACCAGGACAGCAGCGCTGGGCCAGCCAGGAAGGGCACAGATAATCCAAAGTGACAGGCAATCCAAACTTCCCTACCCTGCCTCGTTCAGCCAGTGGGTCCAGTCTTTTCTCCCTTACAAGGAGCAAGGTGATGGGCAGGTAACTGCTCTTCCTGCATGGGCGCTGTGAGTGAACAGGTGCCCCTGGGCAGGAGCCCTGCGCCCCACACATTTGCAGCCCTGGCCTATATTCTTATACGAAGTTGGTCTGTGGGGCTGGCAGAGTGGGCAGAGGGCAGAACAGAGGCCGAGTGGATCTGGGGGGCTGGGCCGGAGAGGTTTGGTCTGCCGGTCTGTGGGCACACTTTCTGTTAGGTTGTGTACTGGGGCGGGGGCAGAGCGGGATGGGAAATGGGGAGAGGGATTATCATCTGCCTTTGCTAGAAGGAGGCCCAGCTCAGGGAGGAATCTCCTTCCTGCATGTCCCAGCCAGGTCCAAGACCGTGAGCTGATAGTCTGTTTCGAGGGTGGCTCTTGGCAGGTGCAGGAGTTGGAGCATTTGCCCTGGAGAAGGGTGGCCCTTCATGATGGCTGAGCCCTCACCCTCCTGCTCCCACGACGCGCTCCCAGCCCTTCCTGCTCGGCCCTGCCGCCTGTGAGGCCTACCTTGGGTTTGAAGGCAATGAGCTTCAGGATCATCTCCACGGTGAAGAGGCCGGTGAAAAGCATGTTGAGGATGTTCATGGCGATTTTGAACAGGCAGCTCTGGCCGTAGTGCTGCATGGGGAGGGGAGCCGTGAGCACAGGCCGGGCTGCCTCTCCTCTCCCCGCCTCCATACCGTTTTCTCAGAGCTCTCATCTCAATAGCCTGAGGATTCTCAGTCCTCCCTGGACCAACCCCGAAGGCCACCACCTCCCACGGGCAGTCGGGTGGACTCAGGGAGCACCCACGTTCTTCCCCCTCACCGTCTCTAGAAACAGAGTGGCAGAGTTTGGGCTGTGACGATTTTGTGGAGAACTCTGGATCAGGAGGGCTGGGCCACAGCTGCCCCCTGAAAATAGGCGGCTGTGAGACCACCCGGCTCACACCACACCTCACATGCCGAGCTCACCCTCTCCGTTCTGCGTCTCCTCCCTCTCCCCTCCCTCAACTCGGAGTCCTGCGGATTCGTTCCTGAGGCCCAGAGAGGAGGGCGCTGTGAGAAGGGACGCTCATCTTTCTGTCTCCCTTGGCGACCAGAAGGGCAATGAGCTGGCCCTGCTGCTGCCTCAACTTTCTGCCCTCTCATAGCCACCCCTCCCACAGGCGTCGTGGGGGGGCCCCTTGGACTGACCTGCATGGCCAGGCAGATGGTGTTGAGCAGGATGAGGACGAACATCAAGTACTCAAAGTAGGTGGAGTTGACCACGTACCACACCTTGTACTGGTGCTGGTTCTTGGGGATGTACCTCCGCAGGGGCCGGGCCTTGAGGGCATACTCCACGCACTGTCGCTGGGAGGGCGGTGGGGGCGGGGCGGGGACATAAGAGAGGGGTTAACGACCTGGATGAGGTGAGGGATGGCAAGGAGGGTAGGATGTTGATGAAGTCACAGGCCTGGGTACGGTAGGTTCTGCAGAAGCCAGAGGTACCACCTACTGCTCTAGCTCACTTACAGGTTTGAGAAGGCGTTTTGAAAATGTCTGGACTTTTTGCCGCTCCCTTAATCAAGGAGAGAGTCCCTTCTAGTCCAAACTCCTTGTCTAGATCGGAAAGGAGCAAGTGTTTCTTTTTCTCACCTTGGTAATGCCTGCATGACCCCCGAGTGGCTGCTAACTGACTGAGGCTTGGTCTTCCCACTGAAGAGCCCCTATGCCACAGACTCCACTCCTCTTTCCTGTCTCAATCGATTGTCCTTGTTTGCAGGTATCCACAAGATCGGAAGACACAGCCCACTGACGGGAGGAGGTCTGGGCTAACTGGATTCTCAGGCCTCCAGTGAAGGTCCAGTCCATTTCTCCACACCGTGCCCCGATTCCCAAACCAGGGGCCAGGTCACCCCTGCCTTCTCTCGCTCCCCTAGCCTGGTGTCCTGTCCCTAAGCCTCCCCACTGTCACCACCTTCTACTCTCCCACCTCTGCTATAAAAAACCTGACATTTCCACCTTCTAACTGGCCTCCCTCTTCCCTGTTCTATCTTCAACCCACAGTCTGTGCAGCAGCCAGAGGTCGAGCCTCAACCTCAGATGCAGACGTGGAAACCCACAAGGGGTTCAGCCGCCCAACTAGCGTCATGTGGACTGTCATGTATGATTGCACCCTGTCCCTTCTCACAAGCAGTCCTATTCCCAGGCATTTCCCCAGGGACTCTCCCCACCGGGAACCTAGCTGGGGAACAGACTTCGGTGACTACACCTCCGTCCCACCCTAGCAGCCCTGAGTCACCGGCGGTGCTGCCGGCTGTCTCTCATGGGCCACCGGAACCCGTTGTAGACTTGGCATCACCATTTCACTCTCACTTAAGCCCTTTTCTGTCCCACCTCCTGCACAGGCCTCTGCGTTTTACTTAAGAAACCATGTAAGAGTAGTTTCCCAAAGTGCTACTTTCTTGAAGTTCCAGTGTCTCTCCTCTGTACCAATAATGCCACCACCTGAGTACTTGCTAACTTGTCAGCTTCTCATAGGGCATAAGATTCTTTCTACAAAGCCTATCACAGAGGCCCCTTAAGTCGAAGCTTGACACATATTTGCTGGCTGCATGGGTTTGCCAGATCTGGGGTTTGCAGGGATTTGCATTTCTTTTGCACAGGCGCCTCTGTAAGACCGAGACCGTGTGTCTATACAGCCCTTCACTCTCCACCGCCCCGCGAGCCCTGCTTCCCCTTCCCAGGAGGCTACCTGGTTCTTGTCCAGCTCGCAGTTCTTGTACTCCTGCTCGCCCTGCTCCTGGAAGGTGACGATGACGAAACCAACGAAGATGTTCATCATGAAGAAGGCGATGATGATGATGTAGATGATGAAGAAGATGGAGATCTCCACTCGGTAGTTGTAGATGGGGCCCTTATCTTCTGTGTGCGAGTCGATGGAGCGGTACAGCAGCCTGGAGGGGGAGACAGGCCCCACAGAGGGCACTGGAGGCGCAGTGTCACCTCTGAGGAATGGTGGCACCACTGCCCTGGGGATCTCTGGGATGAGGGTGCAGGAAATAGCTCCAGGCTGGAGCCAGAAGGTCTGGGCTCAAGTCCCCAGCCTGGCCACTTGCTGGCCGTGTGACCTTGATCAAAGTGCTCAATCTCTCTGAGACTCAGACTCTTCCTTTGTAAGAGGGAGACAATGATTCCTGACTCTCCTACCTTGCAGGGTAGTTGATATGATGTATATGAAGGTGCTCTGACACTGTGAAAAACTATTTAAATATGACACAAGTCATGGACATTGATTGCAAACACTGGAAATATTGGTAAATATTGAAACAGCTTTGCAAACCAGCATGGACTCAGAGGATGTTAGAGGGAACATAAAGTAAATCTCTCTGAGAGCAAATATCCAGTTAGATAAAAGTACTGACGTGACAAAGCTTGTTCAGATCGTCAGTGGTGGTTTGGTTTATACCTAAGCGGTTTGTTTACAAACGCACATCGTCCACCCAGGCCTGCGCTGTGCCCAGGAAGCCTGTCACTCTTGGAGGTCAGGGATCATCTCCTCCCTTCCTCTGTAACCCTGCACGGTATGTGGCTGTTCTCTGGGTATCATCTATATTTGAGCACATAATAATGGCGACTCTCATCTAAGATCCATGCGCTGTTGCTGACTTAGAAATATTGATAGGATATTCTGATTTTTTATGTCATAATTTCACTGGAATACACACTGGTGGAAAAGCAGGTGTCTATACAACGCTATCTGGAGCACGGGCAGCAGAGCTGCCTGGCAGGGTGCTCAGCATGTGAGGCCACAGCTGGCCAGGCATGCATGCACGGCCTCCGCAGGGGGCCGGGGCTCGCCTGCACCACATGTGTAGACCAGGCTTTCTCTATGGAGTGGGGTAGAGATGAGCACAGCAGCACACTGCAGCCATCTCCACCCACCCTGAGTGCGTGCTGGGAGTGGTCATCCTGAACCCCATGTGGCCAGAGGGCCCACACTGGAGAAATGTTCCCTATGCCCCACTTCTCTGGGTGCCATCAGGGTGGCAGAGACCCTGACATTGTAGCTCTTGCTGAGGTTGGAAAGAGAGCTAAAAAAAAGCTCAGTTTTGGTGGAAGTTCCTAAAATGGTGATATCTGGGTGGACATGGTAGCTCATGCCAGTAATCTCAGCATTTTGGGAGGCCGAGGTAGGAGGACTGCTTGAGGCCAGGAGTTTGAGACCAGGCCTGGGCAATGTAGTAGTGAGACTTTGTTTCTACCAAAAAAAAAAAAAAAAAAAGAAAAGAAAAAAGAAAAAGAAAAAAAATTAGCTGGGTGTGGTGGCACATGCCTGTAGTCCCAGCTACTCGGGGGCTAAGGTAGGAGGATCACTTGAGCCCAGGAGTTCGAGGCTGCCACAGCACTCTGGCTTGGGTGACAGAGTGAGACCCTGTCTCAAAAAATAAAATGGCAACATCTTCAGCAGTGACTGTGGCCTAAGGTGGTTCTAGACATACTCCCTCATTGCTTGGGGAGGACACGGGTAAGTAGGACTGGGAAGGTGTGTGGGATATTGACAGATATCAACAGAATTTGAGGACTGGCTGAGGGCCACTATGCTGGCCCTCTGATGTTGGGGGACAAGCCGTGGTCTGCTCACTCACTCTGGCCACCCCTCGAAGGTTGACACCGTGAAGAGGGCCATCATGGCTGCCAGGACATTGTCGAAGTCGAACTTGCTGTTCTCCCAGCTGCGGGGCTGGATGATGGGGTGGTCAACCTCCCCGTCCTTGTACGTGATATAGTTACCCCTGAGAGGAGGAGAAAGAGTTAGTTCTGGGCCCTCCCATCCCCTTCACTCCTGACCCACCTGACCCCTGCATGATGGAGATCGGCCAGGCTTCAACCTTAGCGTCCTAGCCATTTGGAAGTACCTCAGTGCATAGAACCTTCAGAAATAGAAAGGTTACATGTCCTGTCAATAAGACCAGATGACATATGGGTGAAAGCCCTGGTGCCACCATGGTCAGAGAAAGAATGAGCTGTCCATCCTTTCTAGCCAAGTCCCCAGCTTCCCAGGTCTGACTGGCCAGTACCCTGGGCACCCTCCTGCTGCGACTCACTTGCATTCCGCCTCCGTCTGCTTGGAGCTGTCTGAGCAGGTGTACAGCTTTCCCTGGAGGGCAGAAGGACGTGATTAGGGATGTTCACTGATCAATGAGTCAATCAAGAAATGATTCCCAAGCATCTCCGTAGCCCAGCATGGAGCAAGTGGCCGTGGGCAGCATGCAGAGTCCAGATGGGGAGGACAGGACTCCATGGATAGAGCAGCAGCACACACAGGCACTCAGGGTGGCAAGTGCCACTGGAGCGCAGAAACAGAAAGCTGCACTCTGTGGAAGGCGGACTCTCTAGGAAGGTCTCGTGAGGACAGGAGAGGCAGAGCTGGGCTGAGAGGGATGAACTAGATGGAGGACATGGTGGCATGGGGGTGCAGGGGGAGAATGCTTCCTGGGGGAGAACAGCAAAACACCTTAAAGGGTTCGGGCAGGAAAGAGCAGAGCCCCAGGAGAACTCTGGCCTGCTCGTAGCAGAGGGCCTTGTCAGGGGGTGGCAGGAGCTGGCCTGGACAGGTGCAGGGCTCTGGACACTGGGCAGTGCAGGGGCACCTGAGGCTGCTAGTAAGAAGTCAGTGCTGTGGGTTTCAGCAAGTGACTGGCATGGAGGTTCCAGAGGATGAAAGTCCCCCTCCCTTTCTTGCTAGGAGGAAGAGCAGTGACCCGGGGGACAGGCAAAGCTGAAGAGGCAAGAGGCCTCTGCCTGGAGGAGCCAGGCCTCCCTCCAGCCATGTCCTCCTCCGGTCTGGGAGCTTGAGTCGGGCTGCACATGGAGGCGACATCCATGCCAAGTCTGACCAGCTACTGTCCTGTCTTTGCTACATCTGCCAGCCCCCTTGCTGGGAATGCTGACAGGAGGGGCAGGCATCGGGCCACACACCAGAGCCAGGCCGTACCTTGAAGAGCTGGACCCCAATGCAGGCGAACATGAACTGCAGCAGTGTGGTGACAATCACGATGTTCCCGATGGTCCGGATGGCGACAAACACACACTGGACCACATGCTGCAGTGGGAAGGGGGTGGGGCAGGACGCGGCTTCAGGAGACGGCTGCAGCCTGAGCGCCAGCCAAGCCACGCGCCTCTCCGGGGGGGTAGCACAGCGGCCCCTTGCCGCAGTGGGACAAATCAGGCTAGGGGGCAAAGCAACCTTCCCAGGGTCACGTGGGGAGTGATGGGCCCTGATGAGACACAGAGTCCCCATTGGACAGTAGTGACTGCAAGGACAAGAGCCCTGCTGACTTCCATTTTACAGCAGTAGGAATACAGGGCTGCGTCCCCGCGTGGGACACCGGGCTCACGGCCCTGTGCAGCTCCGACTAGCGATCAGGCTTTGAGCTGCCTCTGCGATTGTGCTGTTCATCATGGAACCAGGCCGTGGAGCGGGGCCAGTGTCCAGGCTGCAGCACAGGAGCCACCTGGCCTGGCGGTCACCCCTCCTTCCACCCAGCCCTTGCCTCTGTGCTCTCGCTAATCCACAGGCCAGAAGACGCTGCATCTCACCTTTAGCCCCTTGGCCCTGTTGATGGCCCTCAGGGGCCTGAGCACTCGCAGCACTCGCAGGATCTTCACGACGTTGATGGCGCTGGACCTGGGAGGGAGAAACAGGCGAGTGGTGACTTCTGTGTCTGCTGGAGCAAGAGGCGACGTGCTCAGTGTCCGCATGGGCAAGTCAGGGCAGCCCTGAGAGGAGGTGCAGTCTGCCTTGGGGACTCCCCAGACCCCCCACTCTGGGACTGTTCTCGACTTTTGTTTCCCCCCTGTAACAGCCTGGAGCTTGCCTGTGCCCCTGCCCGTGAGTAAATAACATGAAAAGCAACGAACCACGAGTCGTTAGCGATCTCCCATGCTACTCATGGGGCATCTGTAGGGTCAAAGAGGGGAGACTCGGAGCAAGGCCACCTGAATTCAGACCCCAGTATGGCCACCTGCCAGCCAAATCACCAAGGACAAATTCCCTACCTTTTCTGTACAGTGGGGCAGTTATCAGCTCAGAAGGTGACTGCAAAGATTAAGTGGGAATTTTACACAAATCATCCAGCCATCCGTGTGCTTGGCACGTATCAGGAACTGAACAGATGGAAGCTTCTGTTCTCATGCCTGCTGAGGACATCACTGTACCTAAAGAAACACTACACTAACCGGGACGTCAGGCTTGTGGCTGGAGGTGAAGGTGTGGGGAGGTCTCTTGGTGCTCATCTCCATCACACCTGTGTGCAAAACCCACTTTGCTTCACAGCACATTCTAGGCTCCAAGAAAGAGCGATCCCCGTACCACAGGGTCCACACACCTGGGAAGCCAAGGCCAATGAAGCCAGAGCTCCTGGGGCCCAGGCTGCTGCTACTGCCCAGGGAAGCAGAGGCGGAGGGAAGGCAAGACGCCTGGACGATTTGTGGGGTGACGTGCATCCCACATGGGCTTATTTACTGCGCCAGGCTGGTGAGTGACTCTGAAGCATGTTCCAACCTCACACGCCACTGTCGGACGAGACGCCTTTGCGGGCGTCTGGAGTGCCCGACTTCCACCAGGGACCTAGGGGATGTGCGCACGCCAGCAAGGCTCAGCTCACTGTCTGCGGGACCAGGTGGGGCACTCAAGAGGAGCTGGCAGAAAGACGCCATTCCTCTGGTACGTGGCTCTTGCACTCCGGAAGATTCAGAAGGCATCCCTACCCAGCACTGCGTCTCTCCCCACAGTAGCTGTGAGGGAGGCAGTTTGCACGTAATCATGTGGAAGGGATTTAAAGGCCAGACAGGGAAAACACAGGTTAAAGAGGAGGAATTCTTAGTTCAAGGTTAGATTATGATTTAGCAGTGGTGCTGGGATTAGAATCTAGACCTGTGGGCTCACGGGCAGAAAATCTGGGGTAATCTAATTGATGATCACAGAAAAGAGTCTCTTTGTTAAGGCCCCATCCCCACCTGAGCCCGGCTGACCATGACAGTAACTTGGGAAGGGAGGCCCAGGAACCCTGGGGCAGAGCCTTTCTCTGCCTCGTTGTGACCTTGAACAAGTCTCATGATGTCCGGATCCTCAATTTTCCCATCTATGCAATGGTGATAGCAACACCTGCCCTACCTACTCCATAGTTTGTTTTTTGTGAGGGCTGTAGAAGAATGTGAATGGGAAAGTGCGTCGAAAGTTAAAGTGCAGGATTCACACTATCCGCTTTTAGAACTGGGTAGAAACTAGTAATCAGATCCTTTTAAACCAGCAACCTTGTCTGCATAAGGAAATCACCTGGAAAGCTTTCAATACTTCTAAAGTCCAGACAGTATCCCAGACCAATTAAGCCAAAAACTCTGGGAGTGAGATCCAGGCAAATGTCTTTTTTTTTTTTAAAGCTACCCTGGTGATTTCACACACACACACAAACACACACACACACACACACACGGTGCATTAACTAGAGAGACAGCAGGGGAGGGTGGACCAGGAGGCCAGGGAAGGCCACAGCAAGGGCAGCCTGGAGGGTGCAGGGCAAACGGGGAGGAGGTAGGACAGTGCTGGAGACACCTGTTTCTTAATAATTGGGCCTAGCCCTGCCTGTCACAGCAAAACCCAGGCATTTAAATATACTCCTGCTGGATCAGCATGCCCCCAAGTGTGACAGCAGTGAGGACATGGATACAAGAAGTCAAAGCCGTCCTGTGGTACAACCTCAGAGGCCCCAGCCCCTTCTCATCAGTCACACTGTGACAGTCCTGGAGGACGGCCTACTCACTGTATGCCAAAGGAGATGAGGGACACGCTGACCACCAGCAAGTCCAGGATGTTGAAGTAGTTCCGGCAGAAAGAGCCCTTGTGCAGGAAGGCCCCGTAAGCAGTCATCTGTAGGGAGCACAAAGAGATGGGTGTGAGTGGCCCTAGCTAAGCTCCAGAGACCCCTCACACCACCCTTCCTTCTACAGCAGCCCTTGGGCAGGCCTCCAGCACCCCAAGAGGAACAGGAAGGACCAGAGGAAGAGATGCCAGGCCAAGAAAGGGCTCTGCAAGCCACCACACAACCACCAAAGAACCCCTGGCTCGGGCCCTGCAAGTGGCTCCTTGCACCCATCAGACCACGCTAGACTCTTCAACGCTACATTCACAGCCCTTTCGGATGGGCCGCTGCCCTCTAACTGTGCGTGCTCCCGCAGGCCCGTGTTGACACCGCTGTGCTGTGTCCCTGGCGCACACTTCCCAGCGTCCTCTCCACGCTCTCTCGTCCACGGCCGGCCCGGGCACCAGGCATCTGGGGGAGGGAGGGAGCATGCCCAGCAGGGCGACCAACTGCCCTGCCTGGGTTGGGCAGGCTCTGTCACTGGAAGTCCCCATAGACAAGCTGGGCACTGGTCTCCCTAGTGTCCTGGGAGGAGGTCTACCGACAACTCTGGCAATGGGCATCCCGGCCCCTGGCCTCGGTGGGTGCTGTGACCTGTGCCGAGCACTGCAAACCCGAGCCTGCCGCCCGCTTCCTGACGGCAATGGGCCCGCACACGCAAGCGCCGTGTGCTCAGAGGGTGGCGCGGCGGCTGAGAGCACAGGCTCAGGCCAGATAGCCGGGCTGGAACCCAAATTCTGTCACGGTTTATTTGTGTGACCTGGAGCAAGATACTTAACTACTCTGTGCTCAGTTTCCTCATCTAAAACGAGGACAACGGTGACACCTCCCTATAGGGTTGTGAGCATCGGCGGAGTGATTACACGCAGACCGCTCAGACCACCACCCTGCCGAGAGCAGGCGCCCTGCCAGCCCAGCTGTCGCTAGAGCGCGGATGTGAATTCTGGGCTCTTCCTGCATGAGGGCAGTTCTGCCCCCTCATCTATAAGGTGGGAGGCTCACCCAGGACAACATGAAAGCCCTTTGGAGACTTTTAAAAAGCAAACAAACGAGATGAAGACTGTCACAAGGCCCGACCGTCGGCGCCTCCGCAGAGCCCGGCACAAAGCCTGTGCCGTGGGTGCCCAGCAAATGCCCTTTCCAGCCTTCCCCGTTCTGCCGGCTCGAATGGGGCCGGTGGATATCCAGGATGAGGGCCGAGAGAGGCCAGGCCGTGGAGCGCCCGGCAGAGGGAGGCACCTGGGCTGCTGAGAGCGGCCCCTGGTCGCCCAGGGTCCAGTTTTTCTCTTTGCAATCAGAGCATGTCCAGGGCAGCGTGTCCACAGCACCATTGAAAAGCAAACACAGGGGGAAACGGGCAAAAATAGCTCTTGCAACCTAATTCCTTCCATTTATCTCTTGCCGCAGGGAGTCCTGGGGGCCTCAGGAACCTGCGTTCTGCACGGTTTTTAGAAGTAGGCAGATGATATAAAGAGTTGCAGGGGAATATGGCTGCAGATCTCCCCTGAAGGCTTGCTGCTTGGTTTCTTAGAGAAGGCCTGGGACCCCAAGACTGGACTCAGGTGGGCCATAGCACACGCTAACCTACGGAAGGCCACACCTTGCCCAGCCACCTTGCTGCCAGTCTTAGGGAAGTTGCTGGGGGTGACCCCTTCTCTCTTAGATCTTCTGAGGCCACTGCTGAGTCCAACAGAGTCTCTGTGCGGAGGGAAAGCTTGCTTGGAGGGTTGGACTAGCAGGGCTCAGGGTGCCACTCTCTGTCCTTTGGTGGACTCTTGTTTTGTCAGGGGACCCTAGAATGAGACCAGCACCTCAGAAAGTACATGTGTGTGCATATGGGGTAGGAGCATGCACCCAGGCCAGGTCAGAGGAAGGGTGGCCGTGGGAGAAAGGGGAAGTGGATGCTGGAAAAATGGGGCATTTATTCAAGTCATCTGTGGCCTTTAGGGCATCAAAGCCAGGCTCGGGAACCCAGAGCAAAGTGTCTTCCCTTTGCCCTCTTTTGCTGCTTGCCACCCCTGGTCCCAGCTGCCTAAATTCTAACCATCACCCAGGAAAAGGCCTATTGCCGGGCCATTTCCATCCTGAGTACAGAAGAGGACTGGGACGTGGGTGCGCCAGCTCTCTGAGTTGGAAGGAAACCGCGTGTGCAGCCTTGGGCAAGCCCATCTTTCTAGGCAGCCCTTCTGGTCATTAACTGTGCCTTATCTTTTGTAACTTCCACTCATTGGTCCTGATTCTGCCTTCTCCCTCTTCTACGTAATAGTCCCTTGCGTTATTCAGGCCAAATGTTGTGGTCCTATGGGCTTCTTTTTAGGGCCCAACACCCCCAGGTCCTTCAACTATTCTGTGGATAGCCACAGTTGTCTGTGCCACAGCACGACGCCGGCCCTCAGGCCAGGAAGAGGGCCCCCGAGGAAGGAGGTGCAGGGACACGCACCACTACTGGGGCTTCTACTCGGAAACACACTGAGCACAGAGGAGAGCAGAAGATGGGGGCAGGTGGACAGGGAGGGAAGACTAGGCCATGATGACGCTTGCAGAGACCTCGTACTTCTGCTCGCATGGCAATTCTGAAGGAGAAACAGCACATGGAAACCCACAAGGGGAGCTCTGCTGAAGGGGTCTGAGAATCGGGCCTCAGCGCTTGTCTTGTCCTGGGGAAGCGCTCCGGGCGTCTGTGCCTCCCAGAGTCTGGCGTTCAGGAGTCAGGGCGGCTCACCAGGGAAGGGGTCTTCCTGCTGTGCGTCTCAGCGCAGCGGCGCAGCTCTGGGTCCCTGCTCCCCACCTTGGCGCAGCTCTGGGTCCCTGCTCCCCACCTCCAGATCTACTCTCCGGAGTGAAAGGGGGTCAGAGCTGCATACTCTTGGTGAGCGGGAGCCAGAACGGAAGCTGGGATCTGGGCAACTGAGCCTCCCTGGGACAAGGCACCACGGAGGGTGCATGGGAGCTGCTCAGTTTGCGTCTACACATGGCCAGGCTGTTATGCACACCAAAGGGCTAGCCACAGCGTGGGAGTCTCACTGGCTGGCAGTGGCATGTGGTCACGTGTGGATGTTGGCTTGCTTTGGCTACAGTGATGGGATGACCAGGGAGCTGAACTCCTTGGGAGGGGAGGCCCAGGCTAGTCTCCCAGGAAGAAGATGAGAAGGCTGAAGCATGGCTTCAGAGCCTTAACTCTTCTGTTTGGGGTAAGGGTGAAATCTACCCCCTTTCCCTGAGGTCTCGGAACTCACAGCCTCAATCTTGGGAGAACTGGCTTGGCAATGCATTGGTGTGGAGGCTCAGAATTATATCGGAAAAACTGAGGAATACTCTTTCTCATCCCAAGGTTGCTCAGAGGTAGGCTCCATCTGCTTTGAGGGTAGCAATGTTGTAGCAGGTCCCTAATCAGAGCCAAGCTGGGCCAGCAGAGGGCAGGGCTGAGCCTGCTGCCTGGAGTCCGGGCTGGGGTCTGGGGGCTCCCACTCAGTGCCAGCTGTCCCCTACTGTACTTCACTCTCCAGCACAATGTCCCTCCCCATGGCTTGGGCAAGGAGCACGGTGACGGAGGTGTTCAGCAGGTAAACCAGGCTCAGAGGTAGGCTCCAGCTGTCTGCTGAAAGCCCTCAGTGGGGAGCCTGGCTCTAGCTCCTGCATTAGGCCCACGAGCTCTGTTATGTGGCCCTGGCCCCAGCCCAGGCCTGATGTCTGCCGCAAATACTGAGGGAGGTGCTGGGGGTGGGTGTTCAGAGAGCAGCCAAAGCCATTTTATCACACCCCAGAGGATCTTCTACTTTCTGAGTGTGTGTGGCATTTCCGTGGGGCAAGAGGAGGGAAGGAGAGCTCAACACGGGCCAGTCATCAGTCAGCCAGTGCTGGTGCACACAGACATGTGTCAGGACTGTGGACAGCTGCGGTGCCAAATCAGGGACGTGATGGCATCACGCTGGCACAGCCAGCTGTGTGTCCTTTCGAGGCCAGGGACGTTCAGCGGTGGCTGGAGGGAGGGACTGTGGTGGGGTCTGAGCCTGGGCAAAGCGCATAGCACAATTTGCGGGGAACTCATTCTCCCAATTTCAGGCTTGGGAGTAAAGAAGAGAATGAAAGAAACAGGAGGACAGACAGGGCAGACGGAGCAGACAGACAGACAGAGAGCGCGCATCGCCAGGGCGCGTTACCTTTAGGATAATCTCTAAGGTGAAGATGCCAGTGAAGACATAGTCTGCGTTGCCTAGGATCTGAAAGACAAGCACAGCTGGATTAGTGGCTCTGAGGGTGAGGCCGACACCAGCAGGCGCATGTGCGTTAGCAGCAGCAGGCGGCAGAGGGCTGGCGCTGGCAGGACGGCAGGAAGAGCAGAGAGGGATGGAGGGAGCTTTACCTTCAGAGCGATTTCAATGGTGAAAATGGTGGTAAAAACAATATCAAAATAAAACAGAATCTGCAAGACAAAAAGGACGAGGGCAGGAACAGGGTGGGGGAGAAGCAGGACGGGGTCAGTGGATGTCCATGCGAGCACGGATGGACACGGGGCTGGGCGAGCGGCACACACGGCAACAAGTCCGGGGTGGGCTGGCCTCGGCAGCCCAGCAGCTGCCCACTGATTTCCCAGATGAGTGAGGGGCTTCCAGCTAGGCCCCAGCTGGTACTGGGTCTGGGCAGCGTCGGTTTTGATACTTATTTCGTTAATCCAATTTACTTACAAACCCAAACCAGCCCACTGGGATGCTCATCAGAAGGGCAGAGGACAGGGTTGGTCTTGTTGCATGGAGATTTGAAATGCATGGGTGTGACTGAGCTGGCCAGATGCCCATGTTGGCAGACATCTCTACTGGGCACGGGACGAGCATCCTCCAGGTCAGGGCTACCCTGAGGACCAGCCGCAGAGTTTCCTATCTTATTATATCTCAGGTGATGGACCAGGGACGGGGCCAGCACCTGCTGGCCTCGGTGAGACAGCCCTGGACCAGCAAGCTCCAGGACCACCCACAGGTTTGGCATGGCATGGCTTCAGGTCAGTGGGCTCTTCTGTTCATGCCCACTCGGTCAGCATCTGACAAAGTTTTGAGGTGTTACGATACAGCAATTCTTAAACTAGCCTTTAATGCCATTCACCAGAGCCTTGGGTGGGTCTCCCAGTTTGGATTGTCCCTATAGAGGCACCAAGGCTCTCTCTTACACAGGGCCAGCCTTGTGATGGGCACCTATCTGCTCACGCTTCCCTCGTGGCAGAGCACACGGGAGCAGGGCAGGAAGCCAGTGGCTGTGCTTCTAAGTCTGCCAGGAACTGGGGCCCCGGGCAGTATCCGCAGGGCAATGGAAGTCCTGACTGTTGCCGATTACCGAGCCAGCCTGGGCATCTGGGCACAAGCTCTCTTACTTGCTTGTGGTCCTCAGATGGGTTTCTGTCAAGCCCTAGTCCCTTAAAGAAATGTTTCTGGTGCATCTGAGGATGAGATTTGGAACTGGGCTACTGACTGAGCAGTGGCATCAGCAGCGGAAGCTGTGGGACCAGGCGGAAGGGGCGCAGAGGGTAACGGGCCATGCCTACGTGGTTCCTGAAGGAGGTGTGCTGGACAGGGTCCTCAGCGGCCAGGGAGATGCTGCTGAGCAGGATGAAGAAGAGGATCAGGTTGGTGAATATCGTGTCATTGACGATGCGGTGGCACTGGAGGCGAAACCTGCAGGGAAGGAGGAGGAGAGAGACATCAGGAAAGACAAGGGGGGCAGACGCCAGCTCCTCCCGTCTGCTTACAAAAGCTGCTTGTCGGTCTGGGGAGTGGCCCTTGAGCCTGACGTCTTTCTGCCGCCAGGTCGCTGTCATTACCACCCGCCAACCCACCTGACGCACATCTCTACAGAACTTGGTCTAGAGCATTCTCACAGCCAGTCACCTTTGGCATTCTGGAGGGTCATGTCCAAGACCGTCGGGAATCTCTGAACTTCCAAATACTGCTGTGACATTAACAACTGGCTTTTGTTTGGGGCTTGTTTTCCCTATCATTTATGAAATCCACTTCCCGTTTCTATGCGCAGGGAACAACGCAGCTACCTGGAGATGGGTCTGCTGAGAGGCCGCTGAGCGGCTGTGTGTCTGGTGGTTTGCTCCTGTGCCATAGCTCAAGTGTGCAGCTCAGTCCCCACCTCGGCACCGTCAGGAAGAACTATTCATCTGGGCCTCAGGGTGCCCACGGATAGTAGCACAAATGTCCGATTCTCGAATGCCAAGGTATCGTGTGCACCATCTCTTCCCAACAGCAATACAGGAAGGAAAGTATGGTGCCATTATCCTCCTCATTTCATGGCTAGACGCCAAAACCCAGGGAGGAGAGGCTTGCCCAGGAACACAGGCTGTGGTGTGGGCCACTGGGGCTGAAGCCAGGCCTTCAGACTCCTCTCCTGGCATGCGGTGGATCAAATGCTCCGAGAGGTCCCCCTGCTGCAGCAGCACTGAGTCTTGGAAAGGACACTCTCTGAGAAAAGTCTGGTTTCATGCGAGTTAGGAGAGGTCTGCAAGGATCATCCCCTTCAAACCAACCAGCCCACCCATGAGTGCGGTCTGTGTGCGGGTGGCTGGGAGGGCAGAACTGCCTGAGGACGGATGCTAGCCACGGCAGTGCTATCCGGAAACTGCGTTTCAAGCCGGGGGTGGGAGTGGGCAGGGAAGCCTGGATGTGCAGGCATCTGGAGGAGCCTCCCAATCCCACTTTGAGTCCGCAGGACTCTCACCAAGACAGAGCATTGAAGTCAAAGTCAAAAATCATCAAACACACAAGAGGATAAGGTGAGAATCAGAGGAAACACCAAATAAGTGATTTAGACCTCCAAAGATGGTGCATATTGAAAATATTGGATACAGAATATAAAACATTCAAAACTGTATTTGAAATAGTCGATAAAATAAAGGACTCTCTCACAAAGATGATGAATCAGCACCAACTATTGGATATAGATAGATGGATTTGAAAAATCAAACAACAAACAGAACTGGCTGAAACAAAAACAACATAATGGTCAAGATAAAAATGATGGCTTGCACAGTAATAACGTTGAAAACAGAAATGGGAAACTGGAAGGCAGATCTGAAGAAATCACGAGGAGTGCAGAGAGAGACAAGGCCAAAGAGGCAAGCCCGCGCAGAGGCGGGAGGGCGGGCTGGACGCCGTGCGGAAGGAACAGAGAGTGACGGGAGGCAACACTTTCAGATTAAGGCTGCCAATTTCCAAGAACGGAAGGAAAATATAAATCCACAGATCTAGGAAGCATACATATTCTAAGCAAAATAAATGGAAAGAAATCCATGCCTTGACACGTGGTGGTAAATCTGCCCAACGCCAAAGGCGACAGAAGTTCAAAGCAGCCACAGATAAAGGTTAGTGCCTCACAGAGTGACAGGAACTGGGACGACAGCTGACCGCACAGTGAAATAACATCCTCAACGTGCTGAGGGACAAATACTGTCAATCCAAAATTGTGTACACAGCAAAACTGTCCTTCAAGAACAAGAAATGAAAACAATCACAGATACTTATCTGTGGAGGCCAAGTGAACTTACTGTAAAGCAACAAGAGGAACTTCTAAAAAATATATTTTAGGAAGAAAGAAAATGTTTGCAGGAGGATAGACCAAGCTGCATAAAAAATGGTGAAGAAATAAAATGGTAAGTTGTATGCAAATTCCAATGCACACACCTATATATGTCATGATATGATAAGATAATAATGAAAACACTAACTTGGGTTAAAAATAAAGGTTAGGACTAAAATACTAACCAAAAGTGCCATATAAATCAGGAAGCAATGGGTGAGTTAGCGTAGTCTGAGGTCCTTCTATTGCACAGGAGGAGCTTTACAATATTGTTCATATTTTAAGCTAATAAACTTAGTAATTTATCAAGTTTCATCACCAAAAGCACAGAAATAGAGTTTACACATTTCAAGAAGTGAAGAGCAAAGTAAACACAGATCTTCTGATTCAGAATCCAGGATTCTGACCCTAAATCGGTGTCTGTTTACACAAGTTGTGGAGAGCTGGGGGGTCCCAGGCTCCACCCAGGGGTTCGAGTAAAATGGAGGCACTTGCTGGGCTTGTGCCGTGGAGAGAAAAGAGCCCGCCGTCCCGCCCACCTGTTGCTGGGGCTGAAGATGAAGAAGGCGCTGGCTTCTGGCATGGGCACTGCCTTCTCCTTGAGGTGCAGCTCAGACAGCGGTCGAGGACGGGGGCCGACAGGCATCTCTGGCTCCTCCTCATCCTCTTCTGTAAGGAGAACAGCACTGTTCTAAGTGACTCTGCCACGCCCACCTGTTTTCACCACTGTGCCACCTACTTCCACTGACATCCCCCCACCCCACCCCCGCCCCGGCAGAAACCGAGCCATCGTTGTGTCTGAACATATAGGCCACCAACCATGACGGGCCTCCTGCTCTGCCCGTGGGTGCTGCGGGGGCCTGTGTCCACTGGAGGAAGACTCTGCTGGCAGTGCATAGTAAGCTGGGCTTTAAGTAGGGTGACCAACTGGGCCCAGTTGGCCCAGGACTGTCCTGGCTTTAAAACTGAAATTCCCACATCCCGGAGAACCCTCCAGTCCTGGGCAGACTGGGCTGCTTGGTCATCCTAGCTGTAGGGACTAGAAGAGGTGACCAGGTAAGAGCAGGGCATTGCCAGCTGTCACTCGTCTATCTGGGCTGCAGGGAAAGGGTGTGGCTTCGTCAGCTTGTGGAATCCCTTGCAAATAACCCCATCCTTGGAGGTTCTAGGAATTTAAAACTAATACATTCCCAATTTCTGAAACGATAGAAAGTCATGTGCTGTGGACATGACAGGACCATACTGCTGACCACAACAGGCCCCTCCTTCAAAGGTTGAGACACTGATACCAATTAAAGAAGCTCCTTTGTCTCCCAGCCAGTGGCCACAACTCAGGCAGCTTACTCCTGTTCTTGCGAGCACAATACCCATGGGAGGAGCCACTCATGTCCTGTTCTGGCCAAATGTGTTTAAAAATGTCCAGAAGAGGCAAGGTGACAGCACAGAAGTCACGAGTGTGGGTTCTCCAGCCAGATGTCTGTATCCACGTCTTGGCTCTGGCTCTTCCTCGCTGTGGGCATTTTATTAGTCTCTCTGTGCCTCAGTTTCTCCACCTAAGGTGGAGCAATATTGATAATAATACAAACAGACCTCAGAGGGGTCCCTGTCACACTGCAGCTGCTACGTAAGCGCTAGCGGTGTTAATCACCATCCCTGCTCGCGGATGCTCAGCTGGTGCTCAGCATCTTTTCCTGCCTCATCCTCACCTGCCGCTGCTGCCCCGCCAGCCGTCCACTCACGCCAGGCTCTCTGAACACTCTCTGCGCTGGGCTGGAGAGTGACCCCAGATCCGCACCCACCTACAACTTCAGAATGTGGCCTTATTTGGAAATGGCGTCTTTGCGGGTGTGCTCAGCGATGATGAAGGCTTTGCCCGGACACTGGGCAGGTCTCCCCGCCACGGGCTCTCTCCGGACCACCCACCGCCCTTGGCCCGCGGCAGCCAAACCGATCCTTGAAGGGGTAAGCCGGACATCAGACGGCGGCTCCCCACACGTGGGGCCAGACCCAGCCTGTGGCGTGGCCTCCAGGGCCGTCCGGGCCACCCTGCCGGGTTCCCTCTGCCGCATGCAGGCACGGCAGCCCGGCCGTCCCCCAGGGCCTGCACTTAGCGCCTCCGCTGACAGCTCCTCGCTCTGACGCCCTCTTGTTCCTCTGAATCCCTCAGCGCTCTGCCCAGTGGCCCGCCTCAGAGCAGCCTGGGCTGAGCCAGGCCAGGGCGGCCTGCCCACTAGCGCTCCCGCACAGCCTCGGCGCCCGGCCGCCTGCCGCCGCCTCTGCCCGCCTGCCTCCCACGGGCTTGCTTCTCCGTGCGCCCAGCTGTGTCCCTGGGCCTGGCGCAGCGCCCGCCCACAGGAGGCGCTTCACGGGTAGCTGACGAGCACCTCCGAGGTGTCTCCCAGCTCCCAGCGTCCACGACAGTCACACAGCCCTGATAAACTGCTTCTGCCTCTTCAACTCCCCGATTCAAAGCCCAGTCAAGACCACCCTCCACGAAGCCCCCAGCCTCCACCACACTGCTCGGCTCCCCTTGTCCTTGGACCCGGCAGCCATCAGGGTCTCCCCAGAACGGCCGGTGCCACACACTCATTGTCGGTGTCACTTTTTTTTAATGTGTGCTTCTTAACTTTAAGTCCTTAGTGGCTACTGCGAACATCTGTATGCTCATGCAAATACATTAATAAACTAAATAAAAGCAGAATTAGCTTCCACTTCTCTGGGCACCATTTGTTTCTTCCTGGTGAGCTGAGGTTCTCTGTGCTACAAGGGTGTCCCAGCCTGGGAGGCTAAGCCAGCTGGCCAGCTTCTGAGATTAAGCAGACAGGGAGGGACTCCAGGCCCAGCGCTGGCTTCCCGGCTCCTGTGTGAGAATCAGAAACAGGCTCCTCCTCTGGGTGTGCAGGGCAGGCCAGGGCCTGCAGAGTGCAGGCTGGAGTCCACTCCCCCACACCTTGGAGAGCGGGCGGAGGGTGAGCCCGGGAGGGCCGAGAGTGTGCTCCCTGGCGTCAGCCCTCTTCTCTCTAGGGTCTGGCTGGGGCGGGGGCAGGAAGGCTCGCCAGTGCTGCCGGCAAGGGGCATAGTGTGAACTGGGTGCCACAGCCCGGGTGCCCAGAACGGACAGGTGGGGAGAACAACAGTAGATCAGGCTCTTCGCCTTTCTCAGCTCAGAAGGAAGAGAAGCAGCCGGGAGTGAGAGGTCGGCCGGATGGAGACGACAGCCCTTCAGAGGAGACTTGGGGGCTGGCACTCCTTGCTCTGATGCCAGTCTTGCTCCTCTGAATCACTCAGCTTTCAGCCCGAGTGCTGTGTCCTCAGAGAAGCCCGGACTGACCACACACCCGACAATGCGTGTGTGGCACAGGCCGTTCTGCAGGAGGCCCTGATGGCTGCCGGGTCCGAGGACAAGGGGAGCCGAGCGGTGTGGTGGAGGCTGGGGGCTTGGCTGGGAGGAGTGGAGGAGGGTGGTCTTGACTGGGCTTTGAATCGGGGAGTTGAAGAGGCAGAAGCAGTCATTTCAGGAATAGGCAGGGGAGGGAAGAGGGGCAGGACAGGGAGCGGGAGAGCTGGGAGGCACAGGCTGACTTAGCCTCTGGGGGTGGGCACGTATGGAGCCACCAGCTTTAAGAGCAGCTGTCCTGGGGCCTCCTGGGTGAGAAAATGGAAACTGGGAATAGTGAGTGAATGTGACCACAGGGGCTGGCTTCAAAGGCCTGAGTAGGGGTGGCAAGGGCAGGACAGCCTCAATTAGCCACAGACCAGAGGTCTCAACGCAAAGGTAAAAAGATGTACAGGACCAAGGGAAGCGAAGGCCAGATCTGGAGGAGGCTAGAGAATCCAGGAAGGGACACAGGCTAAAAAAATCTACGGAATCCCGAGGACCTGGCAGAGTGTGGGAAGAGCTTTTCAGGTGGAAGATCAGCTTCCCAGGGCTCCACTACATGCTGGGCAAACAGGGAAGCACTTCTAGGACGGCTGACATGGTGACAATATCCTCATTAGGTCTTTTTTCCCTTGACACTCTCTTCTTTGATTTAATTAGTTCAACAAAGTAGAGAAAAGCTGGGAGTGTAATATTGAGAATAATAGAGTAACAGATGCAAGAGGTGTGTCTGCCCCATGGCCACGCAGAACAAACAGGTGTGAGCTCGGCTGCAGCTGAGTGCCCGTGTGAAAGGACCCTCGGATCCAGATCTCTCCTGCTGTGTGTGGAGAGGAGGCATCCTAGGGACCTGGCCTGCATGGGACAGACTTTTTGCAGGGCCCAGAGGGATTTGTTTTATTAAACTTAAAATGTATACAGAGTAGAGATTCCTATAGTGAACCTCCATTTACCCAGCTTTGACAACGTTTTTTTGGAGACAGGGTCTCACTCTGTTGCCCTCGCTCAAGCGATCCTCCTGCCTCAGCCTCCTGAGTAGCTGTAACTACAGGTGCATGCCACCACACCCAGTTAATTTTTCTATTTTTAGTAGAGATAGTCTCACTCGTGCTTAGGCTGGTCTTGAACTCCTGGCTTCAAGTAATCCTCCCACCTTGGCCTCACAGAGTGCTGGGATTACTGGTGTGAGCTATTGTGGCCCTGCAGTTGACAACTATTGACATTTTGCTGATCTTTCATTTATTTTCATTGATGATTCATTCATTTCATTTCATTCATTTATGATCTTGTTTCATTTATTTTCTCTCCCCCTATTATTTTGTTGTTGGAGTATTTCAAAAGCATTTAAACATTTTAGACTCCATCCATAAACACTTTAGCTTTTAAAAACAGAACTACAAAAATATTATTATACCAATAAGATTAACACAAATTCCTTAAAATCATTTGGTTCCCAGTTCATATTCAATTTTCTTTAATTACCTTGAAAATGTCATTTTGAAGTTTATTGTTCATTCAAGATCAAGACAATGTCCTCTCATTGCATTTGGGCAATATTTCTAGGAAGACTTTGAAATCCTGTAAGTTTCCCCCAAGAAGGGTTTTTAGGACTTCAAAAGCTTAAAGCCCCTCACATGGAAACACCCTTCCTGCTCTTTCCATCCACGCCCCAGGAAACCACATCCCATTTCCCTCGCAGGACAAGGGGAGGGGGATGAGGATGGTGTGACCACAGGGAACCTGTTTCCCACGGACCACAGAAGATGCCCACTAGTGTCCCTGCAGGTCCAGCGGAGAGTCAGTGGAGGGAAAGTGAGCTGGAAAGCCTTGCTTTGCTCATGAGCATAGAAGATTCTCAGCCACCTCACTTGGTACCAACCCAAATATAGCCTGACCTATACAGAGAGGGGCATGTCGGTGAAATCAGCAGTCCCTGATGGCATATTACTGACTTCAAGCTTGAAGCTGGTGATGGTATCTACAATTCTAGGTCAGAGAAGGCAGTCCCAGGGCATGTGCAGGGCATGGGATTTCAGGAAGCAAAGGAAGTGACTTCTGGAGGGAGGACCTTTGACATTAAAATGCTCTAAAAGGAGACTGCCTGCCAATTTACGTATCGGACAGAAGCACAAGACGGAGTTGGTAAGAGCTCTTTTTGTAATAAGAGGCCTGAAAGCACTTTCTAAAGCAACAAGTGGGACATCTGCCTTGGCAGCTGTCCCTGCACTTGGTGCTGCCTCCTGAGCAGGGGCCAGCAGGCTTGGGATTTGCTATTATTGTTAAGTGGGCATAATGCTGAAACACATGCTGAACTAATACATCATACAAGTTAATCATGATTTCACAAGTGACATAGTAAGACTGCAAATGTACACAGAACCCAGCTTGCAAAGGACATGAAAGCACTGCTCAAATGATCTTACTGGGAGGAAACCAGAAGCAAGGCTGTCACTGAGATGATAACTGGTAATGCTTAAATGTACAGACAGCAGACATTTCTCAGTGTCAAGGGACACTGGAGCCACCTGTCCCTAATATATGCTACTCCCATATGGCTTTACAATCCAGATCTCCACCCCCAGAGCTCCCAATCTCAGAGTCAGGCGGTGGGGCTGGTACCTGCAGTTTCTGGGTTGGGGTAGGGGCTCTTATCCTCATTTTCACTGGGCTGGAGGTCGTCCATGTTGATCTGCGTGGCCAAGAGGGGAAGGAGGAAGAATCCAGTTAGGCATGTTCCACAGTCTGAGAGGCTTGGAGAAGGCTTTACATTGCATTATAGCCAGTGGCTGAGCTCAAGAATGTGTCCTTGTCACTTTGCACATCCCCTTCTGGACATTAGCAGAAGCCTGAGATGGTTACCATCTGCCCTCTCTGCACCCCCAGCCCTCTCCTGTCCACCCTCAGGGGCTTCTCCCACTGGGAGTCTTTCCTTCTCTCCCTCTCTCCACGGGGGCCAGCCTGGGAAGGCTGTGGCCTCCCTCCCTCTGCACTGGCCCCCAGCTCTCACCTTGGTGGTGGGCGGAGACTCTCCGTCAGCCGTAATTGATTTCAGCTCAATCTTCTCCTCCTTGGCTTCCTCTATGGCCGGCTGCTCCACCACCTCTTGTTTCTTCTCTGGGCTGGCAGTCCTGGCCGGTCAGCAGGAGGAAAACAGAAACAAGTGTTTATTGGAGTCACGGGGAACAGAGTAGAAGGACACTGCCCTGCGGTCTGTTGGGGGCCAGTGGGGGCAGGTTCGCTGGGACTGTGTCCCTCTTCCCCAGGGCACTGCGTGTGCAGCTGTCACAGGTGCTAGGGGCTGCACTGCCCCCGTCCTGTCCGCATTCCGTCAGCCTCTTCCAGCTGCTCGGCCACCTCAGCCCTAAATCAGAGGAGGGTGATGGGTCTCATCTTGGACTGGTTCCTGGGGACCCTGCTGGGTACCCAGCAGATGCACGGCCTGGGACTATCCTGCCCAGACAATGACGGGGCACGGTGCAGGCCAGGTCTGGCCTTCTCAGCACTGAGATGGACCGTAACAGCGAGGAGGTGACCCTGCGAGGGGGGCTGCCCTGGTCCTCCCCACCCTGTCCTCCCACCGCCCATCATGGCTTCTCTTCTCCAAAGAGGACCCCTCACCTTCCTACACAGGTGGGGAGCATGCCCCCGCTGCAGAGACTGCCACTCGCAACAGTCCCCAGGAAGCAATGCCAGGGATCAGGACAAAGGCCTGACCTCATGGGGACCTGGGGGCCACCGCCCAAGCCTCTCTTACTGCCGGTGGAAGCGGCGGCTTGGAGCGGTCCCTGGGGCCCTGGATGGGGCAAGCTTAGCGGGTTACCTGGCCAGCTTCTTCCTCTCCTTCTCTTCTTCCTCTTCCTTTTGGGCAGATGTGAGGCTCTCAGCATCAGCCAGGTTGTCCACAGCAATGGCCAAGAACACATTCAGTAGGATATCTGTTTGTGTCCATTCTTAAAGAAAATTACCCTTGGCCTTGGGGTTTTGGTGGGCACAGATGCAGGGAGGGTGTGGGGCAGGCAGGTAGAGCTCCGTGGCAGAGGGAGCTGGGTGGCCACCTGGAGGGGCCCAGGGTGTCCCTTGCTTCCGCATCACCCTGCTAGCTACCCGGAGCTCTCTGAAGGGTCGAGGCAGGCTGGCTGGCGGCTGGAGCGGGCAGGTAGGAGGCGGCGAGCCGGCCTCAGCTCTCAACTCTTTAATTGCTGAGTTTCATTACTTGTGTCTCGCCGAGAGGACTGGCTGTAGCTGACACTGTGAGCAGCACCGTCTCTGGCAGGGTGCAGAGTGCTCTTAAGAGTGGTTCGTCGTAACCGGGCGCTGAGGAGGCGGCCTGCCATCTCTGCCCGCTCCTGCTGTGGACCGTGCATACAAGACCCTTGCAGGGTCTGGCTGAGCCAGCAGAGCTTGGGGATTCCTGACAGACGCAGTTGTTTGCCTGTTTCTCCCACCCTGCCCTCCCAACAGCGGTCACACACTGCAGACGGAAGGAAGCACGGGGCCTTCAAGCTCGTGAAGCTGGTGAACAGGGCTTGTCCAGGGTGCTTCTGGGCACCTCCCCAGGCCCCGAGCTGTGCAAGGGGCTTTGTATCCGTTATCCCATCAAAACTCCCAATGACCCCTCCCGTAGCAGGTGGTGTCATTCCATCACCGCGCGCCGCAGACGCTGAGGGAGGAGCCTCAGATGTGCGGAGGCCACCCAGCTGGGAAATGTGAGGACTGGCTTGTAGGCACCACTGAGGGCGTTTTCTGCACTACTTTAAGCTGGGACCAGAGCCCGAGTCTTGGCCCAGAGCTCCTCCTATGTCTCCACTGGCTCTGGGTGTAGCTCTCACGGGGCTGTGAGCAGGGGAGGGGAGAAGCACCCGTGGCTTGTGACCCCAGAACCCTCCTGCGGCCTGGATCGGGAAGGGTCTGTGCAGCCTGCCTGTGACTAGAGTCCTGGGGGGCAGCGTCAGAGAGAGGGGTGCCGACCAAAACGCAGGGAGGAGAGTCAAAGATCATTTGGAGACCCTCCTCTTCTGACCGTCCTACCGCTAAGCAATGCAACGTCCTGGGGAGCCCACCCAGACGGTCCCACCGTAGTCCACGCAAGTGGCTGCACAAGCCACAACACCAGGGGGTGTCCCTCACCTAGATCACAAGAACACACCTCTGGGAGTCTTGCTCCGTTGCAGCCCTGACCGGTTCTGGAAGGTGGCCTTCACCACGCCAGAGCTGGTGGTCCACCCAGACCCACCTCCACCACCAGTGTTCTAGGCTGGGCCTGCTCCTCCCCTGCGGCCTCGCCTGGGCCTGCAGGGGTGGGGGCTGTGGTAGGCAGCGGGCAGCCCCAGCAGGATCGGGGGCACACACAGGGCACTGTGCTGCAGGCGGGGGGGGGGGCAGCGGGGGTGGGGAGGCAGCTGCAAAGGATACAATTTCCACAGATGAAGAGGATGATGAAGTAAATACAGACTAACATCCCTGGAAAAGAGGGGCCGCCATAAGCCATGATCCCATCATACATCACCGAATTCCAGTCCTCCCCGGTCAGGATCTGAATGACACATTCCCACCAATAAGGGACACAGCGTTAGACCAACAGCAAACCCCAAAACCACCCTGCCCTGCCCACTATGTTCACAAAAATGTCCAAAATCTCTTCTGCACATTTCCCTCCTCCTGGCCCCCAATTCTCCTCCCCAGGGGCTCTGCGCTATTGACCTGGGCCAGTTTGAGCCCATCTTTAGACAAAAATGCACGGCCGTTGGCATGCATGGTTTGGGGATGACCGAAGGGCTGGCTGTCTCCCATGTGTGTGAGTGACTGCAGTGAGCCTGTCCTCAAGGGTGGGAGGCACTGCAGCCCCTTTACAGCTGTGAATGCGCTCGCAGAGACAGTGACATGCCTGCAACACTGGTGTTCGGCAAACTTCAGTCACTGGGGCACCATCTTGAAGATTTTGGCAACATGCTCATATTCATTATTATCTATAAGTCAATCTACTTATCTACTTTTAAACTTAAATACATGCTACTTTCACTTTGCCCTAAGTCAAAATATCTGTGAAATCACAAATTTGATGGGCTAGTTATATTTTTCCAGGAGCAAGCATGGTGGGTGGGCAAGATAATGCCCATGACCCCCCCACCTCCGGACCCCTGATGAGTACAGTCTGTTTTGCTTTGTTTGTATTTTGGGCTTTCATGGCTAAGAAAGCATTCTGAACCCTCAGATTTCCCCCCAATGATCCACCCACCAGTGGAACTTCATGGGGCCTGGGGTAGAGGACGCTACAGAAAGAACATAGGGCTCTCCCGGGAGAGCCCCTTCCAGGGCTGACCTCGGCTGGCTCTGGCTGCCCAGTGAAGGATGCAGCTTCCCACCCCTACCCCTGCAAACTCCCTCCAGTGCGAGTCCCAGCAGAGAAGAGTCCATACCTGAAACACAGTGAGGAGGGACTGGGGGAAGTTGTCAAATGTGCTTCTGCGGGTCTGCATCTCATCAAAGTTGAACTTCCCTCCAAAGAGCTGCATCCCCAGGAGGGAGAAGATGATGATGAAGAGGAAGAGGAGAAGGAGCAGGGAGGCAATGGAGCGCACAGAGTTGAGCAAGGATGCCACCAGGTTGCTCAAGGAATTCCAGTACCTGCGAGCCAAGGGGAGGAGGTCAGCACCCTTCCCTGGGCCTGCCGTCCCTGCCCCATTCACACGCCCACCTGCCCACTGCAGGTGCATTTCCACACCTGCTGCCTTCCCCTGTCCTGGGCAGGGGTGCTGATGAGTGTGGGAATCAGCCGCTAAGCTCCCTCAAGCCCCAGAGTCAGCAACGTGGAACGGGGAAGGGAGGGACAGTGGTCTGAAGCCAGGCTGCTGACCTAGCTCTGCCAGCTGCCGCCATGCCCTTTTGAACAAGCCACTGAGCTTCCCTTCTGTCTGCGTCCCTGTCTGTAGAGTGGAGACCGTGGTGGCACATGCTTCCTTACGTTACTGGGAGGATAACATGAGACAATCTAACCTGCCCAAGGCCCCCAGTATAGTCCCTGGCACACGGTTGATAAGGTTAGTAATTACTGTTGTCACCACTGGTCTTCAAATAGGGCAAAAAACCCAAAACATTTTTATTTTCAAGAATGCCGTCTGAGCTCAGCCCAGGTGGCAGTGGCCAGCAGAGACATGAGTTAAGTCACCCATGGGCTGTGGCTTGGTGAAATTTCCCAAATTTATCCTGTCCCAAGAATTGGTTTTCAAAAGGCCTTTCCCCTGGAAATTCTGATTCTGCAGCTACAGTTTGGGGCCCTGATATCTGTGTTTTTAACAAGCATCCTGCAGGATTCTGGGCAGCGGCGAGTCTGGGAGGCCCAGGCACAGCAAGCCGGGCCGCACCGGGAGCAAGTGGGGCTCTGCCCTGCGCGGCACGGCCTCACTGGGGTCCTGGGGAAGAGTCCCCCGGCCATCCCCTTCACACAGCCTGGGGGCCCTTCTTGGGAAAGTGGGAGAGGTCATGGCTTCTGGACGCGGCCGGGCACCTGTGCCAGGGCCTGCCCAGCACTGGAGACGCCCTGCACCAAGAGGGCTGCAGCCCCAGGCAGCCAGCGCAGCCCTCTGGCCTGTCTGCCCACGGGCCACACCGTGGGGCTCCCAGCTCACCGTCAGTGCACACGGCGATGGCTTCTGCGGCTCTAGTGAATGGCCCATGTCTCTCCAGAGACGGGGTCAGTATCAAGTGACAGCAGCAGCGTGGATGGTGACATGAGCATCTTGCCAACACGTCCTCTCGCACCCCTTTCTCCTTCGCAGCCCAGCCCCTCCCCACTTCTATTCTGCCTGCCAGCCACGCCCATTGAAGAATATGAGCATACATTTATTGGTATCTGTTGTAGAAATGCTCTTAGGTGTATTTCACTTGTGAAAACAGGCTCTAAGTTTTAGGGAGCAGAGCCCAGAGGTTTTCTTCCCTCCATCTTCCCCAGTCTTTGTCCTCAAGTAAATTCCGTATGACCCTGGTGTGCCGGGCTGCCTGGCCCCTGTGGGCTGGAGGCTACTGTGACCTGCTCACGGAAGGACCACAGACAGCCTCCCTGGGGTGGAGCACTCTCTCCTCTCACATGTGCAGCAGTATTCCCAAGCTTGCAGGTCCAACACCACTTGGGAGTTTTACCATTTCCTAAACCCTGATTCCCAGGTCCCAACCTGGAACCACAAAGTCCTAGTGTTTGGCGCTGGGTGCTGACCCTCACACAGCCAGCCCAACACTTGCCGTAGCTGGGAGTTAGGAACCAGTAGTTTCAGAGTATATTGATAGTGAGAATCTCCAGCTGTGCACTGAAGTCACAGATCCCCCCAGAGATCTCTGTGTGCTTAATTGTCATGGAATGTTCTGGAAAAGTCTCCACAGGCATGGAAGGCTGCAGCCTTAGTTTTCATGAGGTAAACAGCCATAAGGGACGTAACTCAAACCAGGCTTATAATTGAGATTCAGATGCATCTGACAGTCCTGGGATCCTAGCAGGAGACAGATAAGGAGGCCCTGACTTCAGAGAGAAAGTTACCATAAGTGGGACAAAGTCTGGCAGAATGGCCCAGATGAGGGGCAGAGAGGGAAAGTGAGGTGAGAAGAACATCTCCTGACTGACAAGCCCCCAGGGCGCCTGGGCTTCCAGGGAAGAGGAGGCTGTGGTAGATAAACAAATCAAGTCATCTGGGAGGACAGGACTCCTCTGGAAAGTTTGCCCATGGAGCTGTGTGATAGCCGTGTGGAGCCGTGTGACAGCCGTGTGGTCGAGGGGCCACCAGTGGGGCCGAGCATGTGATTAAAGGGCCTGCCCAGGCCCCTGCCTCCCTCAGCAGGTATTGGGCCAAGTCTGGGCTTCTCTTAGTCACTCGGGTGGCGGCTCACAACGTCCAGACTGTGGGATGACTGAACTCCTATCTCCCACCTGCCACCTTCCCCATCTCAGCCAGTGAGAACCATGGTTTGTGGCTTAAGCTCAAATCCTCAGAGCTCTCCTCTCTCTCACGCCCCACATTGGCAAATCCTGTGGCTCCATCTTCAAACAAATCCTGAATCTGGCCATGTCCATAACCTCCATCACCCGCCCAGGCCACTGGCCTCTCTCACCCTCACTGGCTGCCTTCCCTAGACCCTGGCTCCCTGTGGCTGCTCTGCACACCGCAGCCACACCTGTCATGATGCACGCCACACCAAGCCTCCAGCCTACGTAAGCCCTTCGCCCTTCGTCTCCTCCTCAGGGCTGAAGCCTGAGTCCTCACAAAGGCCTGCAGAACCTGTAGAATCCAGCCCACTGCCTCCAAGCAGCTGGCTACACCCCTCCTTTCCTCTTGGGCCTCCTCATGGTCTCTCCAGCTTCCAGAGCTCTCCGCTGGGCCCCTGCTGGTCCCGCTGTCTGGGCTCTTCCGCAGACACCGCAGGATCAGCCAGCTCGGCCCTCAGCCCCTTCAGGCCTTGGCCCACAGGATGCCTGGCCAGGGGGTCCTCCCCCGCACCTCTCTACCCCTCACCCTATTTCTTCCTAGATATCAGCTGAGACAAAGAAATTAAGAAGACCCCCAAAGACAATCACAGCAACAACAAACATTAATAAATGGAACTTGATTAAATTAAAAAGTGGCTACACAGCCAAGGAAACAACAGAACAAATAGATAAACAACAGAATGGGAGAAAATATTCACATGCTATACATCCCATCAAGGGCTAATAACCAGAATCTAGAAAGAACTCAAGCAAAATGGCAAGAAAAATATCAGACAACCCCATTAAAAAGTGGGCAAAATGCAGGAACAGAAACTTTTCAGAAGGAGATAGGCTAATGGCCAATAAACATATGAAAAAATGCTCAATGTCACTAATCATCAGGGAAATGCAAATCAAAATCACAATGAGATATCACCTAACTGCAGTGAGAATGGCTTTTATCAAAAAAGCCCAGAACAATAGATGCTGGCATGGATGTGGAGAGATAGGAACACTAATACACTGCTGGTGGGACTGCAAACTAATGCAACCTCTATGGAAAGTAGTACGGAGATACATCAAGGAACTAAAAGTAGACCTACTATTTGATCCAGCAATCCTACTACTGGGGATTTACTCAAAGGAAAAAAAGTCATTCTATCAAAAAGACACTTGCAGTAGAATGTTTACTGCAGCTCAATTCACAATTGCAAAGATGTGGAAACAACCCAAGTGCCCATCAATTCATGTGTGGGTTAATAAAATGTGGTATATGTATACCATGGAGCACTACTTAGCCATAAAAAATGAACTAATACCTTTTGCAATAATCTGGATGGAACTGGAGACCATTCTCCTAAGTATCACAAGAATGGAGAAACAAACACCACATGTACTCACTATTAAATTGGAACTAACCGATCAGCACTCAAGTGCACAGATGGCAGTAAAACTCAACAGAAATTGTGCAAGTGGGAAGGGGGTGGAGGGGATGGGTGAAACCACACCTAACAGGTTCAATGTACACTATCTGGGTGATGGGTACATTTATAACTTTGACTCAAGCAATACAACAGCAATCCATGTAACCAAAACATTTACACCTCCATAATATGCTGAAATAAAAAAAAAAAAAGACAAATGCAGATGCTGGTTGTTTGTGCTGTTTGTCTTCAACCTACTGTTGCTCCCTATTCAACAGAGGCAGAGGCGGGCTGGGCCCATGGTTGGCCTGCCGCCTGTCCCTTCTTTGCCTCTGGCGCAGGATCAAGAGGGCAGAGCTGGAGCCAGGGCCTGGAAGCACGAGGGTGCACCCCTGACATGCACATGTGTGGGCATGTGCTGTGAATGCTCTAGGACACTGGACTGAGGAGCTGCCGAAACGATGGGGTGGCCAGCAGGGTCCAGAGGAGAAGAGTGGGCTTCTAAGCCTAGTGTACTTGGCTGATGGCAGGGTCCAGGGTGGGGTGTCATCGTCACCGAACAGAGGAGATTTGCAGGTGTCCAGTGGCAGCCTTGGAGGTGGGTATGCTGACATGAAGTGGCTGGCAGTTTGCATGTTCTTACTCTCTTGTCTTCACTGTCACCTGACTCTCCCTGGCTAACACTGCTGCGGCCAAAGACGGCTGGCAGCCTCCTGTCCCAGAAGCGCCCTCCTCCTCAAGAAGACTGCTGGTGGTGAACTGGAGGGTTAATGGCACGTTAGCAATCAACGGAGGCTTTTCTCCTAAATGATCAAAAATATGAAATACACATGCTCACACCCCCCAAAAAGAAAGAGCTTTGGAGAGAAGTGAGCAGCATCAGAGCACAGTATTTAAGGTCTTTTGGTTGCAGACATCACAGAGAAATGGAGAAAGCAAAGCGCTTCTCTGCAGAACAACGCACACCCCACGCACACACGCTCGTGCTCAGCATCGGGTCACAGCGTGGGGAGCACCCCACACTGCACCATCAGCCTTCGAATAACCTTTCCTTCCCATTCCCTGCCCTGTGGAATCATGTCTCCAAAGTGTGCATCTTTGCCCACTTGTGCCCCATCCAACCCGCACAGGTCATGGTTTTCTCTTTAAAGTTCAGTGCATGTGAGAGTTTGTACCTGACCGAGTTCTTTGTTATCCCGATACTCACCCCACACAGCCCCCGCATTCCCTTAAGTTCGCTCTCTTGCTGA